AGAGTAAAGGATTTGGACATTGTCTTACTCAAGTACCTGCTATTTCTTCAAGTGAATAAAGAAAAAATTACAGATGCAGATAAAACTTGTGTTTCACGAACGAGAGATCCTTGAAACTTCTAAATTACTAGTAAAAACTCAGGAACTCGACCACGTCTGGTTCGAGTGCTTGAATAATAAAAAACTTTTCACTAATAATCACTCTATTTTTGTTAGAATACTTCGAGGTTATTTTTTATGGAGATTTTTTATATTTATACAATTATATTTATACAATATCATATTTTTAGGTGCAACCATTTATGAGTTCATTTTTTCCCATGAAGAAAGCTAAAATTAGAACTCCTAAGCATTACTCAGTGTCTGACTGTCGTGATTGGATTGCGCTCGGAACTGTTAAAAAAGTCTACCACAAAAAAAAAAAATAGTTCAAAAATACAAAAGTTGTATGCTTATACTGAAGGCTCGCAAAATAGGCTCGTGGCTCGTGCACAGTCAGGCTCGGACTCGCAGACTCGCACTTCAGCTAACCTTCGTGCATATAACCTAAATCGATTTGGCCTATAAAACAGATGTATGACGGATTAGTAGGTTTTTAAAATCTTTATTATGAGTAAACTGAAGCTTATAAGTCAGCATATCCAAAAAAATGAGTTTTTTTCCGAAGCAGTTTAATGGTACGAGTGAAAAAATAATTCAAGTTAATGAAATTTAATTTAATTTTGGGAAATAGCACCTCGCCTTTTCCACAGCGTGTGTAAAAACGATCTTTCTTTCTGAACACTATGACCAGAAATTATCATCCTATCAGCCGCCTCAGTAACTCGTTATATAATCAATTAGTCCAGTATTTTTGATAAAATATGTAATGTTATGACTTTTAGACCATTCCTCTCTTGCTATTTCTGATTTGTTTTATAACACAAAAGAGTTCTAAGAAGTTCAATGTCCTTGGAGAAATTCAAAAAGCTTATTTCTCACTATATAATGAATTAGTCCAGTTGATAAAATATTCAAGGTCATAACTTTTAGACCTCTCCACTCTTGCTATTTCATACTAATTTTTTCATAACGCAAAATTGTTCCAAGAAGTATTTCCTGGTATTTTTTTCAGTTTTACTACAATAGGGGAAGGTTGTCAATTGGGACGCAAGTCCTGTATCCTCCTGTCACGATTTTATCATAATAACCTACAGTTGAAACCCGTTAATAAGGACAACGTTGGGACGGACAAAACTGTCCTTGTTAATGGGGTGTCCTTATTAACTGAGGTTTCAGAGAAACAGCTGAAAACGCATTTTGAACCATTTATTTTTACTGTAGTGTAAACCTTGAACTACAATGGTCGATATAACAGTTTAAACTGGAACAAAAAATGCATTACTGTATAAGAACTACAATTGCATTTACTGCATTGTATTGTACAATTTAATTTAAAGATGTCTGTGAGATTTGTTTGTTTACTGTTTTCTTTTTACTGTACTGCACACTTGCAGCTACAGTGTTCAATACATTCAGCCTAAACTGCCAACAAAAAGCACAATACTGTACAAGCACTACATCATTTCTGTACTATACTGTACTGTGCTGTATATAA